TGCGCACTTGTTGCCCCCGCCGCCGCCGCATGGCAGCGTCTATGAGCGGACGGCACCGCCGATTGGCGTGGGCGTGGGCGTCGGCGTCGGCGTAGGTGTGGGCTATCCGATGCTGGGCGACGATTCAAAGTCCGTGCTGCCGCCGATCAATGACTACATGCATCATATGCAGCAGCAGCCCGATCTTATCTACTATCCAGTGAAGAACGATTGACAACCAAAGTAGCCGGCGCTGGGTGGTGCCTCAGGGCACCACCAGCAGCCCCACCACTACGCGCATAATCATAATCATAATCACACGCACTGGTGGCCAGCATCAGCAGCAAGTTTAAGCGCCAAGAGAGGCGATGTTTTTCATTGAAAAGCATTCACATTTGTTTAGTCTGCACGTTGAGAGCGTGCCAGACGATGATTCTATCTAGATAAGGTTTAACAGAAGGCGAACTCTATAAATATAAATATATATTTAGTTTATGGAGCGTTATGATATAGGTCGAGTAAAATAGCTCGAAGATTGGGCCTCGCCGATGCTCAGTATAACTAATCCGACCGACGCTATCAGACACGTGTATACAAATAAATTGAAATAAAAACAGGAAACACATCCACACACACACACACATAGCACACACACACTCACACAAACAGCACCAAGATAAAATCAAGTATATAATTGAAGGAAGATTAATAAGAACATGACTACAGACGTATAAATACATATATACATAGTAGCGAGTAAGGAAAACAACAACAACAAAGAAAGAGAAATAAACACTATAAATATTTACGTAAACGATGTAATATGTAGCCTGTAAGGAAGTATCAACAACACCATCATAACACCAGACCACAACAACAACAAGATGAACAGAAACAACAAACCTTCGAACAAATTTTTGCAACATAATTTATGCTAGTTTAACTTAATTGAGAACAGAAATACGTACGTTAATATAAAATCAGAGCAACCTTATATATATGTATATATATAAATGCAGAACCTTAAAAATATGAAAGATTTTAGATTGATTTGAAAGAGTTTTGGGCTTGTGGCCTGCATCACAATAAGGATAGGCCTAGGCCAGAGCCGAAAAGCAGAGAACAGATAACAGAAAAGTTGTTCAAACCATATCATGAGGCCCTTTGCCGTCAACTAATATAATATACAAATCTATATATATATATATATTTTAATTTCGATAGTGCTTGTTATTTTCTATTTAGTTGAAAAATCAATGATTATATATATAGCTATATACATACATACATTTATAACATGCAAATATATTTGATTTTATTTACATGACCCAAAATGCCGATTGAGCCCACATTTTTTGTTAGATTAGTGCCTAAGTCTAGTTGGTATCGTGTATGTATATCCATTTTGTGGCTTTTTACACCCAAACTCGTGTAATTAATTGATTAATTACTTAATTAATGGCTACCCGTCTGTCGTCGAACCCGTTTAAAACAAACCACATTGATCAATCAGCATCTGTATAAATCGTAAGCCTCACCCTACCATCCACACACTCACACACAAATCTCCTTACTAAATACAAAAAACGAAAGAAACATGTTTAGTTTGTATGTATGTATTTCCTTAACCACCCCCTATTCGAACCCTTCCCCCTTAAGTTAATCGTATTAGTTTATAGCGTTGTTCGTTTGTTTACAAATTGTGTACGCAATTCAGCTAAGCAGCAAACATTACATAAGTGAAAGTTTAAAACAATACAAGTGTAAGGCTACTTTTATGAACAAACAAACAAACAAGCAACCAACAACAACTACATTAAATTAGATTTGTATTCTGGATACAAAAATAAGCAAACCAACAAAAAAGAAAACAAAACAAAAACAAATTAAAACACAAAAATATAAATAAAATTTGTATATTTAATAAAATAGCAAAATAAAAATAAATAAAATTCTTTTAAAAAATATTCAAAAATTGGAATTTTTTATTGATATTAATCAATATATATGCTGTCTTTATGTAAATTTAATACGAATAATTTTACTGGCTAACAGATTGGAATTTTATATTCAAAGAAAGTCAACCAAAATTTTTATCTATTTTTATATATAATAGGAAGACTTTTTGTAACGGACTGGAACATAATTTTAATGCATGGCAGTCAAAAAAAAAAAAATGTTTTATTAATATTTGTTATATTATGTTTCAACCACCATACATAAACGTAGTCAATCGCCTGCTCTTGATAACCTCAGAAGTTGATAGATAATCTTCTAGATAGAAGTCAGTAAATACCGTATATATTCATATACTTATGTGTCATAATGTCAGCAACGCTCTTAATTACAAAAGTTCAGTTTTCAACATTTTATTTGCACTTTTCCATAGCTTCACATATACCCTATTCAACACTGTACAGAAACATTTATGGCCACACATCTAATTTACGCCGCCAATTAGATTCACAACGCGATTCTTGTAACGCTTGGAAATATCCTTTTCAATATAGGTCTGTAACGCTCGGGTCTGTGCAATTAGTTCGTCCAAGACTGGATTCAATTGCTGGCGCTGCTCGCGCAGCTCGACGGCACGCTGCTTCAGCACCTCGCGAGTCGTGCGCAACTTCTCTACGGCTTTCGTCATCTGCTGCAGTTTGCTAGTCAACAAATCGGCATATTTAGGCGAATGTTTCAGTTGGAAGAGGTGACGCGTCTGCTCATCCGAGGTCTTTTGTATGATCTTCTCAACATCGCTTAATATTTTGGTAATGCTCTCGCTGTCGTACGTTGAAATGTTGTCCATCAGTGAGAACATAATGTTGCTGGACGAATCCAAGTGGTTCAGCTCATAGAGGCGCATACGCAAAAATGCCTCCAGCTCGTGTATCTCGTCCAGAAAACGATCCCGATAGTTGGGCGAGTCGAGCAGCGTGTAGGCCTGATCACCTGCAATATTGGAAATTTATAGAATGTGATTTGAATAGAGTCAATTCTGAATGCAGACCTTTAGCTGTGCCACCATCCATGCCGGTGCCCTCAACTACAATGCCGTACTCCTCGACAGGTATGTCAAAGTTGATCTCGACGGCATTTGTTGGCGCACTTTCAATGCCCCAATCTATGTTGGCGCCGTCGGTTTCCTGGAAGTCGCCATAGTCAATCATTTCCGCCGAGACTGTCGAGGATGTTCCTCCATTGTCGTCAGTACCAAAGTCAATTTCATTGCCCTCGGTCTCTTTGCTCGAATTCGAGCCGCTGAAGTTGAGACGCAGCTCAGGTTCCTCTACGGCCAGAGGCGCTTCCTTGTGAATGTACTGATAGACTGTAGTGTTTCCATGCTCCACCAAATGCCGCAGAATGGGCAAACATTGTTGCTGTCCACTGAATTGGGCATATAAATCGATGCCTGCTTGCACTCTACCAATGTCCTGCAAGGACTTGGCGTACAGATCCGGCAGTCCTGCCAGCACTTCAATGAATTCCGAATGCAAGTTTTCGCCCTTTACGCCCAATTGTTCCAGCAAGGCGGCATGCTCCGCAAGCAGCTGTGCCTCTGGCTTATTGAGGTCGTGGGCGCGCTTCAAGGACTCATCGATTTGCTGCTCCAGTTTGAGCATCTGCTTTCGAACTCCAGGTATTTCGTAGTTTACATTGCGCACATATATCTGCGCAGTCTCCGCGAGGTACGTAGCGTTCTTCTCATACAGACGGCAAACTTCTTGCCAGTCTTTCATGCGCTGACTGCCATAGGTGCCAAAGACGCTTTTGGTATCCTTTTCAGTTTGCTTGAGTATTTCGATTATCTCCTTGACATGCAAATAGTTTATATCTGCAATAAGGCAAAGGAAATAACTTTTAAGTATGGATAATTAAATTCCGTGGATAATATTGATACACCTACTTGAACCAGATAACAATTTGATCAACTGATCATTGGCGGGCATGTCTTGCAGAGCATTGCTGATCTTTGAGTGTATGTCCTTGAGCGCAGCCTGAATATTTTTCGGAACAATACGCCTGCTCACAAGCCAATCCTGGAGCTTCAACGTGTGAATGTCAATTGGTATTTCCGACTCCTAATATTTAAATATAAATGAGCACAATCATACATTTAAAAGTAATTAAATTAAAATTCCTTCACACATAATCTTTATTTAGTTGCAAAACAATTAAACTTACATTCATTTTAATGTTGTTGACGTAGCTGTTTGTGTTAAGAGTTATCAGTGCTGGAACATTGTACACGATGGCTCGATAGTTATTTTGAGTATTGTAACCAGTGTTGCCAGGTTTTGAGACATAAAAATAGCAAAATCGTCTCTAAAAAATAGCTGAAAATAGCTAAACAAATTTTAAAATAGCTTTCAAAATAGCTGAAACCTTTATGCATTATGCATTTACTTTAAATTTTATTTTTAAATGTTATTTAATAATGTTACAATTTGGTCCACATCCAAATCATCATCAGAATTATATTTTTGATTAACTGGAATCATTTTTAAATATTTGGAAGGCACGGTAAAATATGGCAGCATTTGCCATTGCTGCGCAAGAAGAATTAGCGATGGTATAAATTCACAACTAGTGATGGTATAAGTACGACAAAGTCGTGGTGGTAGTATCGCGCAGATCATTACGTACAATTTGGGACTTAATCGAAAAATGTTTTTTTTTTTTTTTTTGCTTTAAATACTAAAGTCAAATTCAAAATATTCGTTTGTAAAATAGCTAAATTTATAGCTAATAGCATTTTCAAAATTTTCATAGCATTTAGGGTTCAAAAATAGCTAAAAATGCTATTAAATAGCTAATCTGGCAACACTGATTGTAACGTCAATATTATCGATATTATCGATTGACGATAAGATACCTTTTGGATATAGTTGGCAACACAGATTTTTATCAGTTAACGCAGATTTGAAGGAATATTTGAGCTTTAGAAGTTATAAAACTGTGTAGTTTTTAAAAACAAAATTCATTAAAAGTATTTTACTATTTCGTTTTATTACATTTGTATTCATTGGTTCTTTAAACATTTATATGCATATATACATACATATTTATACACTCAAGAGAAGTAATATATATACAACAGTATAGGAAAAGTCTGCTAGCTCTTTTAAAACACATTCGAAATATTCGGAATGGAGAACGTTTCAGTATCTTCTCTGAACATTTGCGAGACTTGAGCACTGGGAAGCACCTTTTGGGAGCTGCCCGTCTTTGTTTTACGCCAGTGATCCCATTCATTGGGATGCATTCGTTTCTTATGGGAGTGCATATTCGCATTTGAGTTGAATGTTCGGGGACAGAACGGGCATTTATACAAGGGTTCTCCAGTGTGCTGAGCCATGTGCTCCTGAAATTGGAATATTATATAGCATATATTATCAAATATAAAGTGTTCATTCCAAACCTTAAGGCTAATATCTTTTTTGAAGGTTTTGCCACACTGCTCGCAGGTGTAGATGGTATTTGAGTGCGAATAGCGTTTGTGACCAATAAGAGCGCGAGAGTTCTTGCAACTCTTGCCGCACTCGGAGCAGATGAAGGTTTTACCCTCATCATTGTGGCGCCTCAAATGCTGCTTTAGGTTGTCCTCATCCTTCAGCCAGCTCTCGCAGTCGGGCCGTGGGCACTTAATACGCGGCCCGCTCTCCTCGAAGTGCAGGCGGACGTGCTTCTCGAAGACAGCCTTATCCTTGATCTCCTTACCGCACACATGACACACATTGGCCGCCTTTCGGTGCTGCATGCTAATGTGCACCTGCATGTGGTACTCGGTGGCAAAGCTATTGATTGAAATATCAATATATTAACGTCTTTAATAATTGATTTTATTACTTACGCATTATGCTTGGGGCACTCGGGGCAGATGAACTTGCGCTCGTTGGCTGGCACATGCGAGCCCTTGTGCAATTCAAGGAGATTGCGCCGTGAGAACCGCTTGCCGCACTCCTCGCACTGGAAGTCGCATTCCTCGTCGGGCACATGGTGCACCAGCCAATGGGCGCGTAACACGCTCGAATTGGCAAATACCTTGCCGCAGTCGTTGCACCTGCGAAAGTTCAAGAATATTATCATACATAAATATATTGGTTACATTCTCTATAGATTAATTTACTTAATATATTCAGGATTCTCGTGGCGTCTTGCATGCTCCACGATTAGACAACGTTTGTTTAGCTTTCGCCCACAGCATTTCACATATGGCCGTTCGTCTGGGTGCTTATCCTTGAAGTGATCTCGAATACCGTCGAAATCATCCGCCAGGAAAATGCACAACTCACAGCCCATTACGACATAGCGTTTTATCAAGTCTTCGTCCTCTTTGCAGAATGGGGGCCACTGCTGTTTCTTGAACGTCCGCTTTGCGGTTGTCTTACGCTTCTCATGGCCTTTGGATTGCGCTGACCTTTTCTCTTTGGCTCTTCGCTCTTTATCAATCGCTTCGGTATCACGTTTTCGCTTTCGACCACTTCGTGTAACAATAATGTCCACATCGTCCAATTGGTTCATGAATTCGTCGGGCGTCAGCCTTTCCAATTTGATTTCCGGCTTGCTGTCGCTACCAACGTGCACATACGTTGCCATCTCCAGGTCAAGTTCATCTAAAGGATTTATGTTGACCTGTGTGCTAGTGCAGTCATTATTTGCATCCCCATCCACTGTGAGCTCTTCAGCCGGCATCATAACTTCCTCGGGCCACGACGTGTTCAGCATATCCGGATCAGGATCCTGTTTGAATTTCGGGGCATTGGCAAAAATAAGCTGAGCCTCTTGTATCGATACATAGAACTGATGGAACTCAGACACCTGTGTCCAGCACACATTGCACACGACTTTTGATATTGCATCGTTCGGTGAAACCTATAATAGACAGATGCCTTTGACTATGCACAAATTTCAAAATGTGAATAATCAATTTGGATTACCTCAAACCAAAAGTGTTGCCGTAGAACTTCCGCAACATTTGGGACGTTACCTTCGACACCTGCATCACCTGCTTCACTGTTAAAGATTTGGAGGCACATCTGGGAACCACAACCCCGCAAGCATAGCCTACAAATTTGTGGTTCCATTTTAACAACTCCCTGTAAGGCTTTCACGCTGCGCCAAGCGATTGAGATCTGTGCGTGTACGCTGGCAGCAAGCGACCACCGTATATTTTGTTGTACAAAATTTATTAAGTTAATTGTGATTAGGGATGTTGATATCGTATCAATTTATCGATACTTAACGTGACTATGGGGCGATATTCAATATAACGATTATTATTAAAATAATTATAATTTAACTAATTTGTACAATTTTCAAATGCAATACTCTTGCAAAACTCTTGTGTGACGCTACCAAACTAATAATTGATTAAATTTGTTTTATATATGAATATGTTATGTATTTTAGGGCAGTTCGAGTATTCTACATCGGAATTTTAAAGTTTAAAGTCTTTGATTAATTCAATTATTAAAATTTGTTATTCAAATGTTGTACATAAGTTTTAGACATAGCCGTTGTTGTATTAGTAATTTAAGGTTTGAAAGTTATTTGAGGTCTTACTTCACTGATTATCGGCTTATGCATGACATGCATATTTAAAAATCTCCAGCTGCCAATCTGTATGATATATCGATATCGGCATTAAGAATTGACATCGATTAAATTAGTGAGAAGAGGAAAATTGAGTTATAAAAAGTAGATGCGTTAAAGTGATAAATTGAAAGAGATCTCAGCAGTATGAAGGTAAAAATAATACAAGAGGAGTTTCCAAGTATTTTACGTTTCGTTTACTTTAGCGCATCAGCGAGAAAAAGCTTGAGGCCTTTACGGTCGGTACATTTTCCAAGCGGCAATTGGTAAGCTCTGAGACCAATTTTGTGCGGCTTTTATTAAACTTTTGATTTTACAGTCTAAAAAGGAATTGGAGGAGCAGAAAAAGAAGGAAGATGAAGCGGCTGCGGCTCACGTGAGTAAAAGCGATTTAATGATAGAAGCGTACTGTAAATGTTGTCTTTTGTGTATGCTCAGGCGTTTAAAGAGTTTGTGGAGACCTTTCAAGAAGCGCCAACGGCGTCATCAAAAGTGTGGGTAAAGGCCGGTACATACGATGCGGGCTCCAGGCGAGAGGACAAAAGTGAGAAAGGCAAGCTGTACAAACCAGGATCCAAGCTGGTTGAGAAAAGCGCATCTGAAAAGGCAGAGGATTACGCAAAGCTTCTGGCATCTGATCTCAAGAAAGATCCCACACCTCTCAAAAAGAAGAATCAGGAGAAGAAAAAGAGCAATTTAGAGTTGTTCAAGGAGGAATTGAGACAGTAAGATAACGGACTATCCAGTTAATAACTTAGTTAACCATTCCCTTATATCTTTCGCAGAATACAGGAAGAGCGTGAGGAGCGGCACAAGTACAAGCATATGGCGGTGGCGAGTGCCCCAGTGGCGCAGCAGCCACAGCAACAGGTGCAAGCTCCGAGCACTTCTCAGTCTCAGTCGACCAATTCCCGAGATGCGGGCGGTTCGTTTGACACCGGCGATCCGAATACAACGAATCTCTATTTGGGCAACCTGAATCCGAAGATATCCGAACAACAATTAATGGAAATTTTTGGTCGCTATGGTCCACTGGCAAGCATTAAGATCATGTGGCCACGCTCTGAGGAAGAGAAGCAGCGTGGCCGCAATTGTGGATTTGTGGCGTACATGAGTCGCAAAGATGCTGAGCGCGCGCTGAGGACTCTAAATGGCCGCTACATAATGGGCTATGAAATGCGCCTGGGCTGGGGCAAGACAGTGCCTATTATGAATACGCCCATCTTTGCGCCGCAGGCCCTACTCGAGCTCACATTGCCGCCACCGCCGTCGGGGTTGCCTTTTAATGCTCAGCCGCCACCTAGCGAGGCGAATACATTGCCCAAGAAGAACTACAAGGATTATGATACCATCGAGGACAAGGAGAATATGGAGAGAGTAAGTGATATATACTGCCCATCAGAATAATTAAATAATTAACAATATTTCTTTCACCTGCAGGTTCTAAGCAAGTCCGTTGTAAAAGTCTTTATACCGACTGAGAAGTATGATTTCATTAAAAAGTAATATTAGATTTGATTATATTGAATTTTCACAATTTTAGATCTGTGCTGAATATTATACATCGCATGATCGAGTTTGTCATTCGTGAGGGACCCATGTTCGAAGCCTTGATTATGAGCCGTGAAATGGAAAATCCGCTCTTTTCGTTTCTCTTTGACAACGAGAGTCCCGCGCACATTTACTATCGCTGGAAGCTGTTCTCACTGCTGCAGGGCGACACGCCCAGTGAGTGGCGAGAGCAGCAGTTCCGTATGTTCAAAGATGGGCCAGTATGGAAGCCTCCTGTGGCAAATTTCTACACGCAAGGCATGCCCGATGAGCTGGTTGTTGATCCCGATGCCCCCGTCGTGCACAAGGGCGCCTTATCGAACGCGTAAATAATGTTATTTGTAACTAATTTGTGGTGGTTTATTTATACTTCGCATCGTATTCCGCAGACAACGCGATCGCCTCGAAGATCTCATACGCCATTTAACACCAGAGCGTGCACGAATCGGAGATGCGATGATATTTTGCATTGAACATGCTGATGCAGCTGACGAGATTTGCGAGTGCATTGCCGAATCGTTATCAAACCAAAAGACCCTGGCTTCCAAGAAGATTGCGAGGCTGTATCTCATTTCTGATATATTGCACAACTGCACCGTGAAGGTGTCGAATGCCTCCTTCTTCCGCAAATCGTAAGTTGATGTTAACAAAGGGAAAACATAATCCTGACTAATTGGATCGCTTACAGCGTGGAAAAACAATTGGTGGACATTTTCGAGAGTCTCCACAACTATTATTTGGCCATAGAGAGCCGCCTGAAGGCAGAGGGCTTCAAAACGAGAGTCTGCAATGTCATACGCACCTGGGAGGAGTGGACAATTTACCCAAAGGATTTCTTATCACAATTGCACGCCATATTCCTGGGCCGTCAGGTATGCATTTAATGCAGTTGCTGATAATATTAGGTTATAAACAGGGCAAACGTAGTTTCCATTGCAGACCACTTCACCAGCCCAAGCTGAAGAATCTCGCTCCGAAGAGGCTTTGGATGAGGACATTGACGGTGCTCCACTTTCAGGAGAAGATAAGGACGATGAGGATTTGGATGGTGTGCCGCTTGATGGTGCTGCTTTGCTGAAGAGCGCTCTGAAACTTGTTCTACCGGAATCAGCGGTAGCTACGCAACAGCGAGACACGCCCAAGCGGGAACAATATCACGACGAAATCGATGGCGTGCCCTGTAAGTATCTGTCATAATATATATGCTATGGCATATATAATAATAGTTAAAATACTTTCAGTGGATGATGATCTGGATGGTGTGCCACTGGAGCAAATGCGAAAATCCTCAGACACGAAGTCGCAAGCCAAAATGCCAGGATTTATACCATCCAAGTGGGAGACGGTTGACCCGCAGCAAGTTGAGGCGCAGGCAATAACCACTAGCAAATGGGACACTCTCGATCCACCAGATCCGCCGAAATTCTTCAGCTCTGATGAGGACAGTGATGGAGATAGCTCAAGCAAATTCAATGATGAAAAGCGGCAAAAGCTGCGCGAAATCGAAGTCAAAGTTATGCAGTATCAAGATGAGCTAGAGTCGGGAAAGAGACGACTGGAACCTGGCTATTCAATGCCCGAACAGGTTGAATACTATCGCAAGCGTTTGCTCAAGCGGGTGAGTTAACTAACAAGACGCCTGGCATGCTTATCTAAGCTATTCTCACTTATATAATTCAACATATTGTCATCCATAGAACTCTCCTACGAATTCTGTCGACTCGCCGCTGAGCTACATACACGCAAAATCAAAGAGCATGCAGCGCAGTGAGAGTCCTGATCCCCGACATGTGCCCAGCTCTTACTATAGTAGCAACTCTCGCTCCAGTCCCAACCCACGCAGCAGTCGCAAGCGCTCCCACTCCCCACTGAGTGGAGGCGAGAGCAGTCGCAGCTCCAGATCTACCAAGCGCAATCGCTCCCGAAGCCAATCGGACTCGCCCAAGCGCTACTCAGAGCGTTCAAGTCGCACATCGCGTAGATCTCCGTCGCCAGCATCATCGTATAGCTCACGCTCGAATCGACGCAGCGCATCGCCGGGGCGTCATCGGTCGGACAAGCACAAGCACAAACATCGTCATTAAAGTTTTCCACAATTCTTTGTAATTAAATCTTCATATATTCAGTAATTCAAGTACTTTCCTTTTTTTTTTTTTAATGCAAATAAATAAATCGTATGGGAATGGCGAGTGGATATCGAACAGCCAGTTCTTGGTGAGAATGATGATGTTGTAGGTTCAGTTGGCCATGAGGGATGCCTCGTGCTTGTACACTTCAATGACGTCTTCGATAATTTCCCACTGTTTCTCTCGAGTAAAGTCCTTAACGAGAGGCTTATACCACATGGAAGCCTCGTCCGACTCATCGGTCAGCGGCACCTGCACGCCATATGTTTGCAGTGCCAGGGATAGACAGCCGATGGCCACGTGAGTGGGCTTGTATTTCAATATGTTTGGGCTGTGGTGAAAGTCCTGCAGGTACGAGGCGGCTGTCTTGGCAATCGGCACAGAGTTCCATATGTCCGTGCCCACCCAATCCTGCAGTGTCTTCATGTAGTACAGCAGGTACTGCACGGCCGCCAAAAAGAGAAAGCACATGCTTTAATGGCTGCTTCAGTAGGGGACTCCAGGCTTACCTTGTGTGCCAGCTCGATGTTCAGATCAAAACTGAGGGTGCGTGTTATCAGCAGCTCGGCCTGAACGATGGCATCGCGCATGGCCCAGTACTCGTCATTCAGGTCCAGCGGAGCACTGTCGCGGTTCAGTGTGCAGTATGCCACGTTGATAACATCGCGGATTTTGACAGTGTCGTCGTCTTTGATTTTGCCAGCCAAGTAGAGTGAGGAGGCGGCTATTAGCTGTATATGAAACACACTTATAAATCCCGACTGCGAAAAGGATTCCATTCAACACTCACGAACTCGTCGTAGTCACTTGCTTTGACCTCCTTGAAGAAGCGATGGTAAACGATGGCGGCGCAGGCGGCTGTCAGAGGCTTCATCTTCAGCTTCGCCGCGCACTCGAAAATGTAGAGAGGCACCAGACCAGGTTTGGTGGACTTTCTGAAAGGTGTGTATATAATAAATACATGTGTTTATCGCCAAGCGTTTCATGTCTGCAATTGGAGTTGTTGGCAGACGAGAGACTCACCGATAATCAATGGGTTTCATATTCTGTGTCTTGCTCGTCTCCACGTGCTGCTGCAACGACATCACATCCAAGACGTTTTTCATTTTACACAATCCGTAGTATTTTTGCAGTGTTCAATCTCTGCGCACAACTAAAAGCCAAAAAGACAGAAGCAGACCACAATTTAGTATGATACGATTGCAGACAGTGCGTGTGGTTGCCTCAGATCAGCTGTCTGCCGTCTGCCAGCGATTGCTAAAATGCACTGTAGTCGGAGACGGAAGGCAGACCAAACAAAGCCGATGAAAATTTGAGAGCGTGTCTGCGACACGATCCACTCCGAAACCGGTTCGACGCTGGCCACTGTTGACCCACCGAGCGCACAGTGGGCGACATTTACGAATTGACTGGAAGTTTCCATCAGATATGAACATTTGACTGCTAAAACATGTGCTTATTTGCGGTAAAGTACAATATTTTAAAGAAATTAGGTTTCATAATTTGTAATAATGATAAATCTTTGATATAGGAATACAGATCAATCTCTATATTTTCAACAAATAGGACATAAACTATATTGATTTGATTATTGAGTCTTAGAAAGGAAAAAATAATAGTATCAGCATGACGAATGGGCTATATCGATGCCATTATTGGGATTCGAAAAAAAAATATATATATGTATATTGATATAGAAAATAATAATAAAATTCATAAGCTTAGAAAAAATAAAAATAAATAATATTGATAGAAGGTAAAACACAACACATGAGCTACAAGACAGTTTCGTATTGATGGAAACTTTAATTAATTATTGCGAGTGAATTCTATAAAAAAAAAAAATTTAACTTTCCAATTTTGAGTGTATTGTTTCTTCTAAATTTATATGGCTAAAGCATCTATTAGGATGGCGCAAAATTATTTTTCGCAAAACTAAATGATAAACTATTATATTTATTTTCAAATTTAATAATTTTTTTTTTAATTGTCACGAGTCAAAAATATGACCATTATTAATCCGTAGAGTCCAGTAATGAAGCAATAAACAACGATGCTGTATTAGAGATAAATGTTTATTTATTATGTATGTATATAACTAAGAGCTAATGGGTTTTAAATGGGCTGGTTAGGATTATTACTCTCGTTCAAGTTGCGCGACTCCAAGTAGTTCGAATCCGCCTCACCAATTTAGCTAAAGAACATTTCTAGATGAGCTGACAATCGCAAATAACATTTAAGGAAAAAGCTGCCCAAACATTCAACATCAGTAACCCAGTGTGATCCGTCCCCCGGTTCAGGTCAGCCACTCGCCATTTCGTCCTTCCTGGTGCACCGCATCAGTGTCCACGCTCGAACCGCTCTAAGCGCGCCAACAGGCAGGCTCACATTCAATTACATAGTATATATGTTATTATGATTAATTGCTTTATAAGATAGGTACTACAATTAAAAGTAAATACGAACAGCCTCCTCGGCATTCTGTTCGACCGGGCAATAGGGACACTTCAGAATGTGCCCGTTGCTGAGCTTGTGCAAGGCGTCGTTCGAGATGACATGACCGCATGTCAGCTTCTTCGGTGGATTGTCCTCAGTGGTCTGCTGGCGCAGGATCGGGCAGGCGAAGATCGAATGAAACCGGAACTCGGGCTGCAGGTCTATCTCAATGGGCAACTCGTCGCAGCCATTCCACATGGTCAGCACCTGGCGTGATTGCATCACTTGCTTGATATTCAGCAGGGCGGGCAGCGCGGTGCAGCCCGCGTTCACGACCACCGAGAGGGCAGAGTTTATGCTAATGCCCAGCAGCTGGCAAGCGTCCTTGAGGAATGTGAACGATAGTTCGGTCCACATTTCCTGGGCCAAGAAGATCTTGTAGGGCGTCTTCTCCAGGCCACCGGGCAGATAGATAAAGCTGGCCATCAAATTGGCAATCTCGTGCTCGTAGCGCACGGCAAACTTCTGGAAATTGTTCCGAGCATACAGGATGGCTTCGTGCTGGGACTCCAGGCCATAGGAGACCAGCTGCATGAATCGCATGCGATGCAGCCTGAACTCGATGAGCGAGTGCCGCTCGAGCAGCTGACTTGAGTGGCGAACAGCCCACTCGAGGGCTTCGGTAAGATCTCGCTTTTGGATCTGTTTCCAGATGTTGTATATCTCGGCAAACTCACGCTCCGAGTCGAACACATCCTGGGCATCGCTGTCGCTCATTTTGCACTCCTTGATCAGTGTGCGAGCCACGTCGTCCATGCCTTGGCGGCAGTAGTGCTTGGCAATGGCCTTGTTTAGTAGCATTAAGTTGTCCTCGTCCTGCAACGCGTCCACGCGCATCGTCGAGCTGAAGTCAGAGCTGAAGTTGCGATCGATGGCCTTGCCAATCTTTGAAACAGAGCCATGGGAGTCGCGATGCTCTGTCGACAGCTTCTGCACGCGAACATTGCACTTGGATATGGCTTCTCTGATTATCTCCATCTGGCTTTCAGTGAGACGCTGCGGAGCGGCTGGTTCTGTCTCCACCTGCATGTTCACAGTGTCGTCCATGGGATCGTCAGTGCTTCCAGTGCCAGGCGCGTTCATTTGTGTGCCCGTATTGAGCGTGGTGACCAGCATTTGACCTGCATTGCCCAATACATTAACCAACTCCGACATGAGCGACGCAACATCTCCGATTTCGGCAGACGCAATCTCATGCAGCTGCTCCAACTTGCTCACAACGCGATCCAACTCTTTTTCCACAGTAACAATAGCTTCGTCGTCCATGATGTCCAACTCCGTCTGCGGCTCAACAATTAATTTGGTAAATTTGGAGCGACGCCAATCAACAGCGCGCATTAGATTTTTAGCCAATTACAATTTGCAGAGTCTTTATTCTCTTGGACTAAGTCCAGATTTGCACTCCACTTTCAATGGGCAAACAGCAATATAGTTGGCAATTTTTAATTTTATTTTGGCTTTGTCTACAATAATAACACAAAGAAGAGCACCATCACTACCAGAGTTGCCTTGCAAGACGCAATTAACATAAGCACTTGATTTTTTCATACCGCAAGATGGCAGCTCTGACGAGGGGAACAGCTGTTTTTAATATGGAACGCGACACAGACGAAATATGCGTTTATATACAAAAATGTTCAATTTTTAACTTACCCCAAATTGTTGCAATTGATTTAAATGATTTCTGTTTATCTTATTGATAAATGTCTATTGAATTAACTCATTATTTAGCAATTCACAAAAATTAAGTACGCGCTGTGACATTTAAGCCGGGAGAGTGTAGATACCAGGGCTGCCAAAGTTTCCAATGGCTTGAGGCCCAGTCAAACTCTACTGCATAAGTAACGCACGAACAACCACCTGCTCTGCCGATACCTGAGCTACATGTAGGAAAATCTTAAATTTATACATATATTTGATTTCATTATATTGGTTATAAAATCATAAGTCCATTATGATATTAAATTATATTATTGATTTATGCATTCAACATATATTAGCATTTGAATTGATATTAAACACAACTTTGTCCAAACGTTTTACAGCACTGCACTCCCACGGACTTCATTTTCGATAAATTGTGGCGGCAGACCAATAGATATCGTCTGATATATATATTGATTTTTCGAACACACTTCATAACGACAAACACGTAGTTTGAATTTAGTATATAAGAGTTTTCGAACGGTTAATTAAAATTAAGGTAATTTTTTGTGTACTAAAATACATTAAATGAACGATGGGCATTGTCCGGTTTATTGATATGCTCATCAATACAACTGCATAGAAAGTGTCACAAGTCAAGCGCAACATATGTATTTCTGTGTATTTATAAATAAATGATGAAAACATTTGTGAATTTCGCGACATTGACTTGTTACAATGCCCGTGACTCTATAAATAACTAATGTGAGTGCTGGACATGGACAACGGAATGTCACTTCTTGACCACACCAATGAATAAGCCAACGTAGTATTTAAAAATATTTAGCTTTGCCATGCGACTTGCTAAGTAGAGTAACAAAATATAGATAGCAGACGAGCAAGGGAAAAATTTATGTATAAATGTATACATAAATATGTATATTTGTATTTTATTGCATATAGAGTACTTTCGCTAGTCAATGGGCTCGAAAGCGAAATGAAAATTGTTACAGAAATGCGAAAAAAATACGACGTGTGTATGTGTGGGTGTGTTGTGTCTGCATGTTTACAGTCCAGAGAGCGTGCGATGGAAATGATAGTAAATGTGAAAACAAACAATAACAAATGTAGATACATATGTACATTCCCACTTATGTATATATATGCAGTATGTATGTTTGTAACTATGAAAATTCCGTCTGGTTAGCCGAGCGAGTGAGAGAGGAACGGGTGCTTGCAGGAACAAGATAGAGTGATGGGTGAGAGAGCGAGAGAGCCAGCGAGCAAGCGAGCGAGAGGAGGTGAGCTGTCAAAATACAGGCCGAGCATATTGCAAATTATTTTGTCGTATTCGTTATATTTTAGTTTGTAGCCAACAACTGGCGGCAAATGCGGCAAAAATAACAGACAAACACCCAAATTATGGCCGACCGTGCGCCTTATGAATGCCCGCGACGAGCGAGTCGTCGACGTCGACGTCGTCGTCGTCGTCGTGGTCGCAGTGGTCCATGTCGTGATCGTGATGCTGTTTTTAAAAATTCGCTAATAGTTTCAAAATTTTGCTTGGCCAGTTCGGCAATAACATTGGAGCTTTGCGTAGGCTATCGTCGTCGTCGTTGTCAGTGAACCATAATTTTAATTTATGATATTTGATTTTATCTTTTTGCATTTATTTGTTGATTGCAAAAAGCAAGAACTGTGCTAACATTTAAAATGCATAATTTACGGTTCACGGCGGAAAAAGAATTATGAGACAGCCAAACACAATACTGAAAAGTGTGAGCGCTAAAAATAAAATAATCGGGACTGCTATTTATGTAATAAAATAATAAAAATAAAAAATATTTTTGTTTAATATTTAAAACAATTTAATTGTGATTAGAGAAAGTGACAAAGTGCTACAAGTGAATTTATAGTAATTGAGCAATTGAAATTATATAAATATATAGTACTTATATACTATATACGATTTTATTTGAAATAAAATTATTTTGCGATTTGACAAAGAGTCAAAGAGCTCCAAGTGAATCTTTATTAATTGAAAATAATAAATTATATAAACATATACTATAATATAACTCTTTTCAGATAATGCAATAATAGGACTACAAATCGACTAGAACAAAAATCAAATAAAAATAACTAAAATAAAACGTAACAAAAATGAGCCAACGCCAAAGCTAACCTCAAGGAATCGAACACAATAAAACTCAGACACAACTGCAGCATCAGGTATATACACACATATATATTCATAATCGGACGGACGACTACGGCGAAGCAACTGCGCCAGCAAAATGTCCACAGCAACCGCCAAGCAGAAGCAGCCACGCGCTGCCAGCGAGGAGAGCATGTCGCCCAAGAAGATGGGCGTGATTGCGCTGGTCACTGTGGTTGGCTGCGTGGCCATCCTCTGGCCAAAGGTGTTCCACCCCATGATGTTTGGCGGCACGCCGCCTAAGCCGAGCTACAAGGATCAGCCACAACGCGGCATGCCTGGCGGTGAGTCTGGAATGAAATAGGCTACCTTTTTATTATTATAATTTCATTTATTTTGATTTATTTATCTTTGAATATTGTAAACGTGTGTCTGTGTTGTTGTTGCTGGTGTTGTGGTTGACCAGGTTGCTGCGATGTCGTGCTTGACAGGGAGCAGTTCATGAATGCTTCGAAGCCCAGCGTCGAGCCATTTGGCCCCCATTTGTATCGCAAGCAGATCAATTTGTACACGGGCGAAATAAGTAGGTCTAAAAAATCCGGGGAAGTTCTTTATTTGAGTTCGTTTATTTGGTTTTGCTTTCATTAATATGTCAGCTATACTAACGGTGCATTTGCTTAAATATAATTAACAACTACTATCACTGTGTTTATAGATTCTCTAGTTTCACGTGCTGATTCATGTTTGATTAATTGAGTTCTAATTTGCTGTAGGCCTACGTCAGGAACGGCCCGCCCACCTGCATCCGGAATCCATTTATCAGGCAATGCGTGAGCGTGGGCGTGCAATACCCGCCACGCCCACCGTGCCCATAGTGGAGCGCAAGACTTCGCCGAGTAATCCACCGCCGCGCATCGTTGACGGACGGGTGAGTTTCCACTTCGACTTCGACTTCGTCTTTGACTTTGACTTCCACTTCGACTTCCATTTCGATTTCGACTTCCAATTGGAATTCGAAATTCGACTTGCACTTCGCTGCAAAGATTCGTCGCTTTGCAGCATTCGGTCGGCATTTGGTCTGAGGGGGAACAGGGGAAACACTGGGCATGAGACATCGGCCAGGTGCTATAAATAGATGCGTTTATTTTATTTGGATTTGGGTTTTGTTTTTATGACACTGCACGCAAATTGAAGGCAAAAGACAGGCAAAAGAAATTATACACAAAAGCCAGCGTACAGCAAGAGGGAAATGAGAAAGCAACAAAATAAAAAGAAAAACACAAAAAAAAAAAATAAATAAATAAAAGAAAATATTGTTCAAATTGAACTTGTGCCAAATCCAATGCGCCACCTGCCCGCGCATCCAATTTGCTCGATTAGCCGAGCACAGATCTTGTAAAGAGCTGCCAGCGCTGCCGACCTTTAACATATAACTATGCACATCTCTCTGTCATATGGTGAGCACAATTTCATTTTGATAAGCAATCAAGTTGGATAATTGCAGCGCAATATATTTATATTTTTAATAATATTATGATGGATGCTTGCGTATTTCTATGACAAATCGTTTATTATGGGAGAGAGGTAGGGGTAGTGTAGCTTTCTCCTTCTCTGAAAAGTTGAGCCAGCTAAACTAAGAAATGTGTTCCAATAAGAATTATGCGTTTTGACAGTTTTCTCATGAACTTTTGTACATACATATATCAGATATTTATTGGATTATTTTCAACACATTTTATTATGTTTATATTTTATATCAACTCAATTTAAATTTGAGATATTTATAAAGAAAATGTTAGCGCTTTTAAAAACTTTTTTCGTTCATAAATAACTACATACATTGTTTATAATTTACAAAATAGAAATAGATTTGAGAGATATGTCAAATCAACTTCTTTTTAATTTTATTCTGATTTATAATTCACAAAATATTAATAATTTATTTGAGAGGAAGAATGAATATATGTATATCAATTTCTCTTTAATTTTATTATTATAATTTGAACCTATTTAAAATGAGAAATCAGTATATAATGACTGTTGAAATTTAAATTTAATATAAAGGCTAGTGCCTTTGAAGAAGAAAACAATATCAATTTTTTAATAATTAATAATTAGTTTATTGTAATACCAGGCCAGCTCCGCAAGGGTGCAGGGTATCTTCCAGTTAAAGATATTAGAGCTATATCCGTGGCTTACCAATTCTTTTGCAATAGTCCAGAGTCCAGAGTCCAGAGTCCTCGCTGTATATTAATCTAAACTCACCTAAAAAACTATAAACTTGATTACATTTAAACTTGTAATAATCATCTAAACTCTTGTATTCCTTTGCTCACCTCAGCCGGGACCCATTCCTGGCATGCGGCCGCCAATGGGCGCGGGCGCCTTCCACCAGCCACAGCAGCGGGCGGGCAGCAGCATGGGCTTCCTGATGCCACTCTATACGATCGGAATTGTGGTGTTCTTTGGCTATACGATTATGAAGGTATGAAATTGTTGAAGCTACTCGAATCCAATTGCTCGCTAACAATTGTTGTTGCAGATTGTTTTCAAGAAACAAATACCAAATGCTCCATATGGACCCACTCCAGGGGATCCCAGCTTCCGCCGTGATGTCTTCGAGCAACAGAATCACAGTCAAGTGGAGGACTTGAATGGCACCAAATTGGGTAAGCTGATGCTTTAAATATATAGATTTTAGACTCTACATAGACCTCTTCTAGTTGCACAATACTGCATCCACACACACTCACACACACACATATACACGCACACACTCACTTATACATATACAGGCACACGTACTTAACTCATAATCAATGCTAATCGAATCGTGCATTTGTTTATTTTTTTGTCGATTTTTTTTGTAATATTGTATTTTGCTGCATTGCGAAAAGGTTGGCGTGAACATCAGACAAGTAAGCTAGAAATACTTTTGATTTGTTATATGAGAAATATATATACATATAGAGAACTTGGATCCTTGATCTGTTTTTGTTTGCTCCGTTCAGTTTTTTAAGATATGTCCTCGTCATTTGACTTAGCAGCTAGCCAAGTGCCATCAATCAATCAATCAATGCTGTACATGTAACTGTATGTGTGTATGTATGATGTATGTATGTGTGTATGTATGTATGTAATTAAGTGTCTACTAATACACTAGCCATAACCAAAGCCACAAACCGAACCGAAACACTTGAGTAGTTAAAGGAAATTATTCATATACCAAAGTGTAAATACACAATTTATGTTTTGTTGATAATCATTTCTTATTTGCTGTACATAAATGATGAATGCTGTTTCGTTGTCCTTGACGATCCCCAATCAACATAATTGTTAGTTTAAAGCAAATCCTACGACCACTTTCTAGGAACTGCAACGAGTGCAGCGACTGCGGCGGCAACGGCGAATGGCAGACGCAACGACAAGGAGCTCTACAATGCCACCTTGTCGGCCACGGAGCTGGCCACGAATCTGTCCAGCACACTGAAGGCCCACCAGCAGCAGTGCCATGCGCCCAAGTCCCTGGCCGAGGTGGAGAAGACGCTGTTCAATAAGGAGACGGAGCAGCTGATGGAAATTGAAAAGCTGCGCAAGAAGCTCGAGGATACCGAACGCGAGATGGCCAAGTTGATAGCCGAAATGAACACCGATCAGTATGAGGCCAAGGTTAGCATCCAAACAGTAGCGCTAGCTGGAATTGGTGGTCCCCCGCTCCCACCGTAGCTCCCACCCAGAAAAAAAAACAATCTCCATTGACTCCATACACACATTCACATTCTTTACTTTACTTTTAATCAGTATTTTTAGTGAGTTCCGATCTCATCGATATCAATATGCTATCCTCTCTCTATATATACATATACATACATATCTCTATATATTCTTTTGTATTCTCATTTATTATTCAAGATGATTGCTATGACGTTTCTCAAGCGGCAGCAAAATTTCTAGTGCAAACCCAACATTTTAGTTACTATCAGATCACAGAGAATAGACCAAACTAAGTACAAGTCATAAGTTCGTTTCTAATTTTGATTTCTAGAGATTGTCAATCCCAACCCCCTTTACTTGTAAATGAAACCTGTAGCTAAAAAGTCAGTTCAGCTCTTGAGTTGCATGCCTTTTGGGCCTAGCCTCATTCGGTATTGTCTCTCTCTGTCTCTCTTCGTCTCTGTTGCACTTGCTTCGACTGTTGCATGTTCAGGCCTGTTCTGTCTCTCTCTTTCGCTGTCAAACTCTTTCTTGCCTTACTAACTCTTGCTCGTCTGTGATCGGCATGCCAAACTCTAGCCATACTAACCAAGCACAAATAACTAAAACTAATAAGTAGCTCTCTCTCTCTCTTTCTACTATCATATTAAATTTATATGACGGGGACATATTTTATAAAAATGAAAACGAGCTTGGAAATAAATCCTATATATACATACATATATATATATATGAACTATATCAATGATATCAATTCATAGAAAGTCTTTTCAATCATGCCAAATCGCAAATCACAAATTCATATTGAAACATGCCAAAGTTCTGAGCCAAATCTAATTCTTCGTTTTCATGTAACACATGTATATTACATATATACATATATCTCTTCCCATTCCAAAATTATAAATATATCACAATATGTAAAAAAAAAAAATAGTTGTAACGGCTATACAAGGTCTTATAGACGCTGCCGATGAGCAATTGAACATGCGAGACGTGCGAGGGGCGAGGATCGAAACTGAAACTGAAACTGAAATTGAAACTGAAACTGATTTGAATAAGGTTAGCGCCGACAAATGGGCCCGCAGCAATCGTTGAACGTTTTGATTTAACTCTTTTATTTTGTTAACTCTGTTTTATTTGTACTTTAACCCAGCCAAGTAACCGAAACATTTACGAGTTTGTGTTTGAGTAAATATTGTTATTGTTTATTTGATTAATTTGTTTAACAATTGTTAACTGTTCTACTTCTAGTTGAGCTCAAGAATATATATAAATATCTTTAAAAAAATGCTCAATTTATTTGTTTGTCTTTTGATACAATTTGTAATTTTATTCGAATACTAATTTCGAACATTATTTTCGCACAGCAACCGGACGACATCGAAAAAACGAATTTGACAAATGTAGAAAACCAAAACATTTCCAATGGGCATACAGCTAACGACCAGCAGGGTATCACAAAGTCGAGCAACACCAAGCAACAGCAGCAGCAGAGAAAGCGACGCGACATCAGCGCTGAGCGTGAAATGACGGTAAAAATCTGATTTGAAGTTTGCATTATTTTAATATTATTTGATATATATGTATATACATGTATGAGCTGCAGGTTCTTGGCATGGAGCTAACAGCTAGTTGTGAGGGCGGTCAGAGGTGGACCGGACGCCCTCCAACACCTGTTTATCGCGCATCCAGTGAACATGTAAGTGGCTCCGCTCCGTTCGCACCTGCCACAGTCAAAGAAAGTTCCAAGCAGCGAAACCCTTTGAAGCAGCTCTCAAAATCGTAATATCTCTTGTCTGTAACTAATTGAACTCCTCCTCTTCCATTGCAGTCCAAATTGGAAGAGAATCTACCCGAGCCGCAATCCATTTACTTGGAAGGCGCCTTGGCTCACGACTCGCAAATTTTGGTAGCCGATTCGCAAACGAAACGCGAGGAGGTCTATGACTCCGAGCTGAATGGATCATCTGAGGAGCCGGCTGTAAGTATAATTTTAATAGTATAATATTAAGATTAATATTTAAATTACTTTGATATTGCAGGTCATACTCAGTAGCAAGATGACGTTATCATTGATTAATTTGGATGCAAATCAACAAAATGGTAGCGATAGCAAGCAGGAAATCGAAAGTCCCTTGGCCGATGATATTGAAATAATTGGACACGACGAACGCTAGAAAGTCTCGTATATATATGTACAATGCAATGCAAGCCATATATATGTATATATCTACATATATCTATGCCTATTTTAAATTTTTTTTTAAACACACACGGTTGAGGATATGAGTGAAAGTTAAGCACGAATGTTATGGACTGATTAAACAAAGTAAAATCCTGTTAGTAATTTGGCATTTGATTTATATATATATATATGCATACATATATATGGCTTATGTATTGTGTGTTTTGATATCGATTTTGTTCTCGAAATCAGTTTTTTTTTTTTTTTTGTCGCTTTGTATCTTTGCATCTGTTCGGTCAACTGAACATCTAAATGTATGCCAAAAAAGAATTCATTAAATGGATATTCATACCTCCTAATTAAATTACATGTAGATTTTTAGTTGAAATGCAAATTAAACTAGTCTACCGCCATCGATTTAAGAACTAAAGCATATTCACTCTGCGAATTCGACAACTATTGTAAACAACAATTTTCGACATTAATTACATCCTCCATAGGAATCCATACTATTATAACTTTCGATTGCACCTCATTATGAAACATTAAATTAATTTTAGTAGCACAGTGTTTTGTGAATTTAATTTAAAATGAATATGTGTAAACTGAAAATAAATTTTAATCTTGATTTGACTCGAACTGGTTTTATTAAACTAACAATATAGAATAATTTCAATACTCAAAATTTTAAATGTGAGCAAAGCCCGCCAATTACGTTACAGTATGTAATGTGCTATCTGCATGTTAAACTCAAAGTGGCATGTTATTAGCAATTTGAGTAAACCTGATGCTTGAGTGCCCGCCAAAGTTGAAATTGGATGCCTAACATACTGAGTATTTTAACAGTGCCACTGAAGCACCGAGTCCTTTAACAGAGCTGAAAGCTCAACAGTAGAGCGTTAGAAGCAGGATAATTTTCTATGAAAATTGGGGTCTTCATTAAATCTAATTAGTTTTACATGAGCGCATCATTTCAGTAAGCACAACAGATTTAAAAGTTTGTTGTTTCAGCTGCCTCACATTTAGAATTAAACTATCGGGTTTGCTATCTTAGCTTTAAATTTTTTATTGTTATAATATTTATATAAATAAATGAACTGAAATGAAGTATTCATTAAAGGGATATTCTTTATATACGGAGACAGTTTAACTACAACTTCATATATATGTTTTCATGAAAGGATATTTTTGCAGAGTATTTTAAATGAATGAACAATTATTATTGCTTAGTGCTGTCTAATGCAGTAAGTCAGTTAGTCAAGCATTGCCCAACATTGCCGGATGGGCGCTTGGGTTGTTGTCTCCGATTAAAATTTAAAATGAATTTGCTGTTGGATTACAGCGATATTCTGTTCAAAATGCAGGATCTGTATTTAAGCATATAAGTCAGTATATCATCGTGCATGCATGGGGTCACAGATTTGCGTATTTCATGAGGCGCCACCAGATGCAACAGCCGAATGGTTCATAAAACATGTAGTGACAGACGCTACTGCCGGCTGTTGCTGCCGTTGTGTGTGGAACAATGAAAACGAGAACAACGGTAAATGTGCAGTGTTTCCGCTGTGTGGGCATGTTAACTGCAGGAGCGAAAGGGAGAGAATGCGTAGGTGGCGGACACCCAAACAGGCAGGCGAATCACGAAACACGAAACAAACGCAAATCCTTTTTATCCATTCAATATGCATATTTACAAGCAAACAAACGAATATAAATGCACGCACACAGGCGAATGCGCCCACGCATACACACACCCAAACACCGCGAAAGGGGTAGAGGAGTAAGCGAGACAATGCGAAGGCTGCTGAGCAACGCTTTTGTGGTTTATTTTTTAAATTGAATGAAACGACATGGAAACGGCCATTATTTTATATTGTCTAGCATAATATGATTGTCTCACATGGTAAGGCCATTTATTCGCGCAAAATATGCAATTTCATTATGATGCTGAAATTAGGTGTGCCATTGCTCTCGCCTGCTGCTCTGTCATGCAATTAAAATTGTTGACGAGCGGGAAGAAGCAGCAGCAACAGCAACAGCAGCAGCAGCCGCAGTAGCAGCAGGAGAAGAAAAGGAGAACAAGAATTCAATTTTTGTGACAGCAGCGCCCTCCAACGGCCAGATATTGTCAACAGCTACTCATAGTGAAAATCCAATAAGCAGCTCCTTGACAACAACAACAGCAATAAGCACAACGTATTGTTGTCGCCATTTTGTACCTTCGTATTCCATTTGTACTATTTGTACTGCACGCAGCGCTGGTCACATTGAATTGATTTTGAGCAATTTTTTCACTTCTCATTGGAAGATAAAATATTATAAGCATATGCGCTGGATGGTTGATTTCATTTAAAAATTTTAAATAATAATAATAAATGTATATATATTTATAAACAAATATTTATTTTTTGGCAATCCTCTAATGCTTATATATTTTTTTATTTATTATAATATTTTGCAAAATTTTTTCTTTCACTTTAATTGTTTTTTTTTTCTTTATCAGGAGAACATGGTTATTTTTTCGTACTTAAAATTACAGTATATTGTCACTGTATATTGTAATTAGTCTAATTATTTATTTAATTATTTTTATTTATTTATTTTTGTTTGTTAATTATTTCTACTTATTTACAGTGTGTTTAAAAAAATATTTAAAGAACTTAAATAGGCTAAACTCTCTTAGTTTCATATTTAGTTTGTAATATTTTAATTTAATTTCTTTTATTTTTGCAGTTCATTTTCATTCATTCATTTTCTCAGATAAGGACTACAATTTCTTGTAAAAACCCATTAGTATTTCTTAATAATTTTGCATAATGAAGTTTCGACTTCGGCTAATCGGAAATGCTTTGTAATTTAATTACTAAAACAATTTTATAACTATATTTGTATCATAAATATGTGTACGCCAAGTCTCATTAGAATTGTTAATAAGGCAGTTATTATTGCCGGCAATTAAAATGGTAATTGGAATATTTGATATTTGCGCATTATATTTATTCAGTTTAAAGTGCATTTGCGATTCGTCGGCTTGGAGCGCGGGCGAGGCAGGAGCTATTACTCAAGATTCCCTTAGCTTTCTTGACATTTTTTATTGCATTTTTATGTCAACGGCAGCTGCTGCTGCTACTGCCAGCCTGCCTAGCTCCTGCCTAGCTCCTGCCTAGGTCCTGCCCCACTCCTGTCACCCTGATACGCTTCAAGTCGAAGCTGTTTGTGTATTTCTGTCAATTGTGCTGAATTGAATTAAAGTGTAAGTCAATGCCAGGTGGTGCAGCTGCTGTTGCGGTGCTGCCGCTCACAAACGAAAGCCACAGCGGCCAGCAGCCAACCGCAGAGGAGGACAAACCAGCCCAAGCGCAGCGTGTCCAGGTCTAGGGCCTTAAAGCCCAGCGAGTTATCGATTAAGTGGACATAGCCCGCCTTGAGGGCGTCATTGAAGTCGGAGACGACCCAATGCTGAAATAGGCCAATGCTCTGTATACGCATGATGAAGTGCTTCAGGGGCGATTCCAGGTGCGAGTCTCGGCGCATGGGGTAGCCAATGACAGGTGCGCCGAGGCAGACGGACGAAAACCGAAAGATGGGCTTCATGGCATACTGCTGCTGCAGCGTAAAGAAATCCCAGCGCTCGACCGTGAAGGGATACGAGTAGCTGAGGTTGAAGCTAAGCAATGCGCTCACCTGTTCACCGGCCTCGGAGCCAACGACCAAGCGGGTCACCTGCTGCAGCAGGTGTGGCGGAACCTGCTGCAAGACCATATCCACCTCGTGATGCTTGACGAGAATTTTCTGCTGCTGGGCAATGAGCTGCTCAAACGTGTCCACCTGCTCGCCCACCAAGGTGGTGGTCAGAAAGCTGCTCAGCTGATTCGAGTACCAGTTGGTCACAACGAAACCCAGCACGGAGAGCTGCAGCGCCACAAGGAAATAGCGGATCGACGGCCCATAAATGCGTGTGGGCGAGCTGAGAAAGAGCAGTTGAGCGAGTCCTGCGAACAGGCACTGCATGGCACGCAGTCCTCTGTTCTCGTTCGGCCCGGGACTCAGAAAGTAGAGGACGAGACTCACGTAGAGCACGGCAGCCAGCAGCAGGAGCCAGCAGTTCCATTGGAACGGACGCAGCAGGTACATGAAGCGAGGGATCTCATTCCGCACCGGCATAATAAGACAATTCTGGGCTATGTGCAGCGGGTAGCTGAGGATGCCCAATTTCCGATCGATGCCCACATACGGATGCATAGTGATCTCCAGCTGGTGCTCGCCAATGAGCTCCGTGATGCGACTCATGTTGACGCTGCTGTCGATGGGCAGAGACTGGCCGCCGTTGCTCACGTGCAGCAACACGTTGTGTCTGTGACAGAACTCCGCCAGAACGCGATAGCCGTAGCCGCGAATGAGCTGCAGGCCCGTGCGCTTGTCCTGCAGGCGAAAGACTCGAGGCAGATCATTCTCCGCCGGCGTGGAAACCACATATTGCTTCAGATCTCGTGGAGCAGCTGGAAAGAGGTGCTCCTCCTCTCCTTCATTCTCCAGGTGCCGCTCAAAGTGACGCACCGTTGGGTACGGCGTGTATCCGTATACCCTTTGCCTGTGCAACACCAGAACTCGTAGGAACTGCAAACTCCACAGCTTGAGAAATATATTGCGTAGAGCCACCTCGTTTCTCTGAGCCGACAGATAAACAACGAGACGACTCTGGCGCAGCTTCCTCAAACGTTCATCCAAGTGCCACCAGATCTGCTCCTCGGTGCTGTAGCAGAACAGAAGACTCAAGGTGTCCGTCTTGATGTGATTTCTCAACGGATTAAACGGATCCGGCTTCCCCTCAGTGCCATCGAAGACATAGCTGGAGCTGCTCAGGTTGCTGTGCAGCCAGCGTATCAAGTCATTCACCTGGTCTCGCTGCACATGGCGACTGATGAAGATGGGCGTGGTCGTCCATCTCTGTTGGCCAGCTGCGCGCCTTGCTATCTCCTGCATAAAGCTGAAGTTGTGCGACAACTGCTGCTGACCCATGGCCCAGGTAAAGGACAGTAGAAGCGGCAGCAGCAGCAGCAGGTGAAGTAGTTTCTTGGTCAGCTCCATGGCTGCGAGTGGACTATGCGAAAGGACAGCCAGTACTTTATAGCGGCACTCGCCCAATTGATTTAATTCAATTTAATCGCACTGCTAATTGAACTTATCTGCGGGCATACGAATCTACCTGTCTGCACACTTATGCAATTATCCGCAATCACGAAGCGCAACTAATTGCAGCTCCTAAGTGTGTAATGGCATCTGACCTAATGGACGGAATAAAGCCAGCCAGGATAATGGACAAATATGAAAGGGAATTGACAAGAAGCGTGTCAATTAAGCTGATAAATTAAGCGATAATTTGGTAAAATTATCATGTGGTCCTCTAACAAATCAATTATATACAGATCCAGCAGCGATATAGCAGATAGATCAGGAATATTATATGTTTTAATACTATTTTCACACTTGACAAAAATATAAAAATATATCTAATTGGATTTTTGTAGGTAGAGATCGAGAAGTAAATTTATTGACATTGTTTGTTTCTTTCTAAATAATTTAAGGGGCTTATTTTTCTTGTTCGATAATGGCTTGATTTCTTTTAGAATTTGCAGGCTTTATGAATACAAAAATTAAAGCAAAAATGTATTTACCGCAATTTCTCATATTAAATAATTGCAGGGAATAAAAAAAAACGATCTTCTTCCGTGACAATGCATATTGAAGCATTGCCGTGACCAGGATTCGAACCTGGGTTACCACGGCCACAACGTGGGGTCCTAACCACTAGACGATCACGGCTATTGAAGACGCTTGAAATGTGGCCGAAAATAAGTGTATAACAGCGCAGCGAGCATTTGCGTGTGTGTGTGTGGCAATGCTTTGGTCAAGCTTTGCTACAGTTTCTTGGCATTCAAACGAAGCAAAACATCAATAACGGCAACGACAATAAAAAGCAACAGCAGAACAATTAACTGTAGAAATAACCATAACAAGAAAAACAAGAGATACAAAACAATACAAGTAAGAAATATGCGATTGGACCCAATCGATTCCAAATTAATTCCATACTACTTAATTTATTATATTTGATAAACACCAATTCACAGACCATAAATTTAAGTTTATCTGTCAAGTATCAGTGATCGTCATAAAATATTTGGCTGCGTATATATATGTATATAGCAAATCGGGAATCACAGTATATTGAAAAATTCATAAAATTGCCAAAGTTCGACTATCGATCATTCTATTTATATTATTTCAAATTAAATCTATCTATTTTAAAGAATAATTAACATTGTATATATGTATATGTAGGCACTTAGTATATATTCATCCATATAGACACCCTAAAATATTTTATAGACTCAGTGTATATATTTTAAAATTGAAAATATTTAGATTCAATATTAGTTAAGCATTTTGATTTATGTTTCAAGAAATAAAGTCTTATAAAACTATAGGCCAACAAGTAAATATTCCCAATTTCGTCTTTGTCGATTTCCTATTTTCGGCCAACATCAAGATACCAAAATAATCTTTAACTTCATAAACTAGTATTACCACAAATTTGCTATATGAAATATTAAATACCAAGTACAGTAAAGAGCAGCTGAAACATTTAATTATCAAGTTATTTTGTCAACAAATAATGGAAAGAAGCACAGTCAATTTTATATTTATATTCTTTACTTTTGTAAATTTGTTCGCGTTTATCTCTAGGTTGAAGTCGCATATCGCAGTCGCTGACTACCTTCGTATACTTTTCCATATTTCTATTAATTTTTTATTTGTACTATAATATTGTGATTCTAATATATTAACGTTAATTAATATCTTCTAATATACGATTTTTTTTTGTTTTTGTTTAAATTGATTTCAATGAATTCTATTTTTAATATGTTAGCAAAATTTATTTTTAGAAGTGTTTGTTGAACTTTTGGGTATAAATACTACTAACAGCAATACGGAAAAATAATTTATAAATAGAGCATTTCTTTATCTGAATAAATAAATAAAAAAATAATTTTTAATAATTCATAAAATTATTTCTTTTTTTCGAATATAAGAAATAATTTTCAAATTTTCATTTATTGTAAAATAAAAAAAAAAAATAAAAAAAAAAAGAAACAAACAAGTACAGAGAACAAATAAATATTTTTTAATGCATTCTCAATAATTCATTAATAAAAAAAAAAAAATTGATCTTCTCCGTGACAATGCATATTGCAGCATTGCCGTGACCAGGATTCGAACCTGGGTTACCACGGCCACAACGTGGGGTCCTAACCACTAGACGATCACGGCTATTGAAGACGCTGAAGTGGCGACGCAAAAAAGCTCATATCAACGCACCATATGTATGTTTGTGTGTGCGCGCGTCTATATCACTGCTTTGGTCAAGCTTTGCTACAATTCTCGTGCTTCAAACAACTTGTTTATGGAGCAAGTACACCAATAACGGCAACAATAACAAACAGTAACAGCAACAGTAGCAGCAGCTGCAGCAATAACAATAACAGCAGCAACAACAACAACAAGAGAAACAATAAAAGCAAAATAAAGAAAAGTAAATTCAACGGTGAAAGGCAGCTAGCTGAGCAAAACCCGCCCAACTCAGCGGAGCAAGTACGGAAGACAGACTAAACAACCAACCGACAGATGGACGGACAGACGGACAAACATACAGACAGACCGACAGCCAATAAACAAGATTTTGGTTTATGAATGAATGTAAATTTTTAGCAGCACAGATGCAGAACAGAGTAAAAGAGAGAGAGAGTGAAGGCGAGAGAGAGAGTTAGAAAAGTAAAGCGACCGGCAGAGAGGGCAACGGTCTGAGGAGGGGCGGGCAGGGCAGGGTAGGGCAGGGCAGGGCGTGTTGCTTGACTTGGCATTTCAATTCGTTTTGCTATCAGCAGCATTTTGCGGCTTTGCCTGTGGGTAATTGTAGAAGCGAGGGCGCAGGTGAAGGGGGAATTCTAGCAGCGCTGCTTAGGCAGAGGGGGAGCCGTGTAGATATGAATACGAATAATAAGTTCAGTCAAAATAAAATGTTGCATAAATTTAGAGCACAGTATGAATATAAATGCGATTATGTTTATACTTAAGCGAAGAGCAGATTTGATTGCAATGGAATTAAATATGTGTGAGATATTTATTTATTAGCACATCAATTTATAATAAATAACTTATTTATTTGCCAATCCAATGAAAAAGTGCAGATGGCTAATTGAAATAAATTTGCAGCACATTAAAAACAATCATAGATAATTTGCACCTTAGGGAACATAATTTCAATGTATTTATGTTTTAGCTGCATTAAAGAGATAAAAGCAATTCCTTTGTGTTTACCGTTTTACGTTTACAATTGGATTTGTATCGTTTATTCCCGTCTTTTTGTTGTTGTCATTACATGTTAATTCCATTTACTAAATAAGCTAAGCTATTGAGGGGAGTGGGGTATACACGCACTTACAAATTTCCCTTTATATTTGCAATTTAATTTTATGCCTGACTGGAAATGTTTCTTAAAGTGTTATAGAATTCCGGCTGATTATATTTTCTAAAGCGCTTTCAAGTCATGTATACCCTACTTGGTTTGAGTGGACTTGGCATACAGCATGAACTGTGCACACGCACATTTAATGAGGTGCTGACTTGTGAGCGACGTTCTACATATTTCCCTGGAGGCATTTTAATGAGTTATATTTGTCTCCACTTAAATACATCTATTTTGCGAAAATTACAAATTACGATTATTACGAAAAAGGAATTCCAATTGATAGAACTTTATCGCATTTGTAGCCAGGGAGATAAGCAAATATTGATGTGCTTATCATTCAGAAATGTATATACGTATGCATATTATATTTATATGAATTTATATGAATTTATATGTATAAATGCAGAGATAAGCAGTATATAAAATATGATTTATGTAAGCTGATTGATTTAAAAGTTGGTGATAAGCTCTTGGTAGAGCCCCCAATTAGTTTATATTATTTGAGAAATATAACATTGATAGTCATTATGAAGATAATGATGATTACGATAATTATGAAGTATTTTGAAACTCCACCAGAACGAACGCTCAACAAACCAAGATTCCAAAGTCAATTGTTATCAATCAATAATGAGTATCATTATAATTATAATTGCAACAAACGAAATTATCAAAGTTTATTTTTTCAGTGCGTAATTGACTTAGGTATTAATATTATCAATTGTAAAGTTAGGTCAGGTTTTGTTTATGTCTTCATAATTAGTTAAAGGGCCTTGGGCTTATTTGTTAGTTCTGTGCTTATATGTCTCTCTTGTGTACATATTACAGCATTATTACAACATTATTCCCTTAATCATTGTCTTATATGCCATTATTAACAAAGCGAATAAAGTTATTACTGAGATCATTGCATTTATACTTATTCGTTTAACAATTATTATCAGAAGGGTGATTAGCAGAAGCATAAGTTATACGCATACAAAATATGGTAAATATTATTAAAAGGGAATCATTAAATTAATAATTAACACCACAATTTTGGTTAATTTAATATTAATCAGTATGTAAATGCTTACCACACGCAGAAGAAGAAGAAGACTGCTCTGGGTACCTCCAGGTATTTCCTTCAAGTGTTTCCCCTTTAATGCTCAGCTGAACAGTTACACACTTCACTTCAATTCACTTTAGTCCACTGTACGAGTGACCTCCACCAGGCCTGGGCGACTGAAGAAATGCTACAGCTGCTGCCCTTTATATAGGGCGACTTCTACTCAAAGCCTAAGACGTGCTCAAATGTTAAGCTCAGTGCCAGGTAGAGGCCGTTGCAGTCGAGAGTAAAATGACCAATGGGAACACTCTCTGATGCTGCGAGCATTCCAGCTTCGTTTTACTCAAATATAAATACCCAATGAGTACTGCTGCATACATATACAGCTTAAATGATCTTCTGCATTGCGTCCCTTACTTTTGATAGGCATACAGATTGAGAGATAGACAGGGAGAGAAATGTCTCTCCACATATAAAGAGAGACATACGACATAGTTAAATCGGTTTAGCTCATTACGCTCACGATTATGTGTACATATATGCTTGATAGGCTAACTGTTGATATTCTACATTAATGTTGATGTTATATTAATACTAATATTTATTAGATGGCATAGCCAGTAGTTTTTTCTCTTAAATAATTCTCTTGAGGATTATTTTCTCAGCATATTCTGCCTTAATTTCTGGCTATTCCATCCCATACTCATTTTCAATGGACTAGACCACTTTCATGTGAGTGTCTGCATGTGTTAGTGTGCTGCTTTCCTTATCCTTAGTCTTACTATATAATATATATTGCTCCCTTTTAATATAAAAATATGGTGGCATTCCAGATTGAATACCCATCAATTTAATTGAATGAATGCCAAAATATATTTGCATATATTGATTTTAATTACACTTAAGACCTCTTTAGCCTTTACCGGAAAACACGCCAAGCGCCTTTTATGCCAATTTTCAAACAAACAAGTTTCAATTGCCGACAACTTAAATACACTGCAAATATCCCGTTGTATCCAGTTTACGTATAATTTTTGCATTCCATGATTTTGTAATTACGATTAAGTGTACAATATTATTTCAATGGTATTTTCTGTCCTTTTCGTGCGTCATTTAAAATGTAACGGGATTGGCGGTTGGGTGAGTCCTACTGTGACTGCTGGGGCTGAAGTCAATGTGGGCGTGGCCTTTAGTTTTTTTTTTAACACCACTTTGGCGTTACGTGCGGCAAAGCCCTTAAAAAAAATACCAGTGTTTACATGTAAACTGAAAATTTATGAAATACACACACACATACACATATTCAATCCCACACACACACGCATCACACTCATTCACTTGCACACACAGAGAATAGAGCGTAAAATTTTTGCACGGATTTAATGTTTGTGCAATTTTTTGTGGCCTGCTTTTGAAATATTAAAAAAGCCTGCACTTGTCTCAGTGTGTGTGCGAGAGAGAGAGAGAGAGAGAGAGAGAGAGAGAGAGAGCGTGTGTGTGTGTGTGAATATTCGCGCTCTAATAATTGCGCAAAAGAGTTGGGCTATTTAAATGCAAGTATTGACCGTATGACTATGAAATAAGCAAACGCGTTTTACAAATTCATTTATGGGAGTAAAAAAAAAAATCAAAATAAATAAATGAGTATAAAATAAATAAAAAATAAATATACACATTATGGATTTGTAATTTACATGAAGAGGCCAAAGTTCAACAAAAAGTGCACTTCATAATTGCTTTACAGTGGGTGAGATCAGTAAAAATATACGAGATAAATATTTAAGAATCGGAATATAAATCAATAAATTATGGAATATGCAAAATTTAAGAAGCTTATGGGACAAGAGATTGATATAGTAATAGTAGTGATATAGAGAAAGAAGAGCTAAGAATGGCAGATAATTAGCGGGAAGGACAGATTGTGAGAGAGAGAGAAAGAGAGAGGGAGTGAGAAAGAGAGAAAGACAAGGAAGCTGAGTGAAATAGAGAAGGAGATAAAGTGAAATAATGAGGGTGAACGCAGAAACAGAATGAGATAGAGTGTATGAGCAACAAAAAGAGGGAGAGAGGGAGAGATATGGAAAACTAATATAGAGAGGAACATAGAAAGTTTGAGAGAGTGAAACAGGAAATGGTAATAGAGAAGAACGAAAAATGAGATCACAAGAGTTAGATTGCTAACGGCTAAAGAGGAACCCAAAAAGAGGATTAGGAGAGGAGGAGAATTTGAGGGGAGCTGAGAGAGAAAGTGAGCAACAAAATTGTGAGAAAAACGTCAGGAGAATATATAGGTCTAGATCAAATAAAGAATAACTTAGATTACAATTTTTATTTGAGCATCGCTTTGTAGTACAGAATGAAAAAGAAAGAGTTTTGTCGTCAAAGTTACAAAAAACTTGAGCAAAAGAAATTCTCTTTCAGTATCACAGAAGTAGACTTCTTATATGGACACCTTTTAGTCAATGAGAATTGTATAGAAGAGCAGTATGCAGAATATGTGTACAAGTTTATACCTACTATTTAGTTTATTTATTTATTTACCTACCTATATATGTATATAGCTATTGTTCCACATATATGTACATTTTTCATCCGCGATTCATTCCATTCTACTCACTGTATTGTGTTTACTGTGCCGCCAACTAGTCTGCCTCGTTTGAGGGTCACGATTGATCGATTCATGTTGTTTCATTCGGTTTTTTGCAGTCTCGGAAGGGATTGTGGGATAGGTTTTTATGTTCTAATAATTTGCAGTTGTCCGGCATTGGGGGAACACGTGCGCCAGTTGCCAGCTCAGCTGCCATATCAGCGCTTGACTATAAATATGACACGAAACACGAACCGTTTGAACAGTTGCAGTCAGGCAAAATGCAGGATAACATTTATACGCCCTTCAGCTCGGAAATACCGCTCGCTTTTATATATACCGATGAAGTGACTGGAGAGACTCTCTACTGTGGCCCATATCTGCGCTCCTTGGAGACCTTCGCCGAGAGATTTGACTATAAGCTGCAGCTGGAGCATGTGGAAAATATGACGAAGAAGTCGCTGCTGCTCCAGCAGATTGCCCAAGGAGAGTATAATACATCTGTGCACGGCGTGGGCATAAGGAGCACATTGGAGGATCCCACGTCGAGCATCACAGCATACAGCTACCCCATCGAGGTGACGAAGTACTGCGTGATGGTGCCCTTGGCGCCAGAGCTGCCCAAGTGGATGTACATGGTCTGGCCATTGGGCAAGTACGTCTGGGCCACGCTCTTCCTGGCCATCTTCTATGTGGCACTGCTGCTGCGCTACGTGCACCACGGCGAGGCAGCCTCTCGCTCCTACACGCGCAACCTGCTTCACGCCATGGGCATCATCATGTACAGCCCGAACATGAATATGCCGGTGCAGCTCTACCAGCCGCCGTTCCGTATGCTCATCTTCTACACGCTGCTCTACACACAGGGCTTCATACTGTCCAATTACCACATTAGCCACATGACCTCTTTCGACATGAAGCCGGTGTTCGTAAAGCCCATCGATACGTGGTCGGACCTGATAGAGTCGAGGGTGCGCATTATCATACCGGACACGCTGCTGGAGGAGCTGCGCACCTTACCCGTAGTAAATATCTCCTCACTAGACGCCCAGTTCGAGCCACGCGAGTTCCACGACTTTCAGCAGCTCATGGTGAATCCGTCTCGCGAATATGCCTATGTTGTCACCCAGAATGCGTGGGATTTCTGGAACCGACAGCAGAGCGTGCTCATCCAGCCGTATTTCCACATGTCACGAGTCTGCTTTGGGGGACTCTTCAACGCCTTTCCCTTGCAACGGGATGCGCCCTTTGCCGACCAACTAGATCGTACCATGCTCTACATAAGGGAATCTGGTCTGTGGGACTATTGGGAGGACATGGCCTTCGTCTTTGCGTTGCGTGCGAATCTCGCAAAGATATTCCTGGACACGTATCCCGTAGAGCCCTTGAATCTGGAGTTTTTCAGCACGGCATGGATTGTGATCATCGGTGGCTTGCCCCTGTGCTCAGTGGTCTACTGCTTGGAGCATCTGTGGAGCCGTTGGATGGACGGGCAGAGCAACAGTTGCTTGCAGCAGGAAGTTTAGCATATATAATCAGAAACTGAATATATATTTTTAAAATTATTGTATAAGCCATGTTCTATAATATGATTACCATAATTATGAGGCACGATTTCATTGGGAAATTTCATGCTGATTCGCGACTGTTATTATGATAAAATGTTAATATTATAAAATCAGTTACATAAAAATAATGTACTACATACATATATGTATATTCCAGATTTAATTTATTTATTAATTAATTATCTAATAAAACAGATTTATTTATTTATATTTATACGTATTAATAGATTTTAATATTTATTTAATTTAATTTCAAAATTCTTTTAAATTTAATTCAGCTAGATGGTAAAAGTTTCTTTGCTAGCAATATTAAAAATGTGTATAGACTAGAGATTGTCATTAATTTTAATTATCATGAAGTAAATGCTTATTAATGCCATTGTCATTATTACCATGTTATCGTGAAGTAAATAGTCATAAATAAAATGGTCATGAGAAAAACAATTAGGCTTACGATTATTTGGATTATGATGACTAGATCGAAAATGATATTACAATGATATTCAAATATGTACTTACTTGTTATTATATAATAATATAGGTTAACATATTCCAATAATGATTTTACGCATCGAAATAGTTCCGAATATTTCGGAAAATTGAAAATAATCTAACATTTTGTTGCTCTTTAATAAGGATTCTTCGTAGGTAACCTCGACAAAAAACAATATTATGCTGGTATACCAACAAATCAGTTTATATTGGTTTAATTAAACCTATTTATAAGGAGGTATAAATGCAAGAGCCCGCACCCTTGAGTCGTATGTTCAGTTGCTCAATTATAATGTCAAATGCCTTGGATATTTAAGATAAGCATCGGGAAATGACCTTGTTTAATTGTTATGTTCGTCAAAGCAGGGAATGTAATCCCTTGAGCAATAGTCAAAGGCATTTAGGACGCTATAAAGGCTAACTAAACGCAGACATTACGCATACGCAACGTGAACGCTTCGCAGTTATGTATTCGCCCCGTTGGCTTATCGTTTTAATTGTGCTGCCGTTGCCATGGAGCTGTGGCTGGAACAGCAGATACATTAGCAAACTGCTAATCGGCCTTAATCGGATGGTTGCGTTCCAGGATCTGGTCTGGTTCGTTAGCCAGCAGCTGGACAACGAGCAGAGGGACGACATGGAACAATTCATTCGCCTGAATCACGATGCGTTTGCCTTATCCCAAGTCGTTGTTGTCAACAACTCGGATATGCGAATGACCCACTCGGCGGTCAGGCGCAACCAGATGACCGTGATCTTCACCACGGGCCTGCACGATCCTATCATGGAGGTGGCCAACAAGGTGCTGCTGGGTAAGCACTTCTACCTCGCCGTCTTCATGATGATGGGGAAGGTGGCGAACATGGAGGCCATCTACGAGATCTGCCAGTTCCTCAATGACAATCAATTTGAGAATTCGCTATTGTACTTCGAGTCGATTGACGGCATCAATCAGATATACGGCGCAAGTCAATATCCATCGTACGAGATCGAGAATCGCACCGACCTGCCGAAGTTCATGCGGGCCAAGATGAGCCAGGTGACGAATGCCGTTCATGACGTGGGCGGCTATCGCTTTGCCACGCCCATGCGCCAAGATGCGCCGCATCTGTTCCGAGTGGGCGACCGCTACGAGGGCAGCACCTATCGCATCATCAGCACCTTTGTGGAGCACCTCAACGGGAGTTTCAAGGAGCTGGAACTGCCGCCAGACGCGCTCGGAGGTCGCGCAGTCAACATGAAGCAAACGCTGCAGCTGGTGAGGGATCGCCAGGTGCAGTTCGTTGCCCATGCCTACGCCTTGTTCATGCCGGACGACGACCTGGAGAAGAGCTATCCCCTGCTGGTGGTGCCCTGGTGCTTGATGGTGCCGCTCTACAACAGCGTCTCCACCTACTTCTATGCGCTGCAGCCCTTCGACACGACCGTTTGGTTCTTTGTGCTGGCCGCCTTTGTGCTGCTCAGTTGGCTGGAGTTGCTGTGGCTGCGACTGGGGCACAGGAGGGGCCGTGGCTCAGCGGGAGTGACCACAGCGCTGCTGAACTCCTTCTGCTACATCATCAACATATCCACGGGCAGGCAGCTGCTGCAGCCCTCGCTGCTGCGCTTCCTGCTGCTGCTGGCCGTCTTCTTTCACGGCTTCTTCTTGTCGGCCAACTACACCTCTACCCTGGGCAGCATTTTGACCGTGAACCTGTTCCATGCTCAGCTCAATACCATGGACGATCTGCTGCGCGCTCAGCTGCCTGTGATGATCATCGACTACGAGATGGAGTTTCTGCTCCAGCTGCACAAGGAGCTGCCGGCCGGCTTCATCAAGCTGCTGCGCCCCGTGGACAGCGGAGTCTTTGCCCAGCACCAAATGCAGTTCAACAGCTCGTTCGCCTATTTCGTCACCGAGGACAGCTGGCAGTTCCTGGACGAGCAGCAGCGGCATCTGAAGCAGCGCCAGTTCAAGTTCAGCGACATCTGCTTCGGCTCCTTCCACTTGGCCTATCCCATGCAGCGCGACTGCTCGCTCTGGCGCGACCTCGAGTACTACACGTTCCGTGTTCACTCCTCCGGCCTGCTCAACTACTACGCCCGGCTCAGCTTCGAGTCGGCGCTGCATGCGGGCATCGTGCAGCGCCTGGAGGAGCACAACGAATACGCATCAGCGGGCCTGCAGCATTTGGCCATAGCATTCATTATGCTGATGACCATGTCGGCTCTGGCCTTCATCGTTTTCATCATCGAACTGCTAACGAGATTCAAGTTTTAATTACGCTCAGCGAAATTTGATTATTGATTTGCCATTGACCTCAGAATTTGTATAATTCCTGCGCTTCATTTAGCATTTCGCATTTGGCTGAAATTAAATTTAAATTTCAAACTAGATTCAGTTGACCTCAAACCCAATTATCCGTCTGCTGGGTGTCGAACGGGCGCTGAAGTGGATTGTAAATTGTTTCATCAATTTCAAATGGCTTTATCGAATTTTGTATTTAACTCTAAGCAATCAAATGAAAAATGACAGATTGCTGCCATAATTAAATAAAGAGCAGGAGATCAGAGTGTCCAATAGTATAAAAGGCATTCTTAAAGATTATATGAAAAAAAACTTATAATAATAGTAAATAATAAAAAAAAAAATTAATAAATAAAAAAAAAAAGAAAAAATGAAAATCAATCATTTTCCATTTAATTATAAAGTTTAATTTAATATTATTAAAATTTAATTTAATCTTAATAAAATTTAATTTAATTTAATTAAATTGAATTATAAAATTTAATATATATATATATATATATATATATATATATATATATATATATATATATATATATATATATATATATATATATATATTTATCAAGCCAAGTATAAATTGATACTTATAATCTTAGCATTATTTAATGAAGTTACAAAACATTATTTAATTTCTCAGCCTCTCATTGAATTTTTAACTAGATTGAGTTGAAAAACTTATAGCCTAGACACTGGATGTCTAATTTGCACAAATTTTAAAGATATTCAATAAATTTATTTTTTAATATATTATATTTTGTGTTTCAAGTGGAGTAGACTCAAGGGTCTAGAGATGAAATTTAAAGCAGTTACAAAATTTAATTAAAGATATAAAGCCGAAGGCCTCAGTGGCCAGTGCTTAATGTTAGGCTAATTTTAATTTTACATTAACTAAAATATCAAATAAAGAAAAAACCTTTAATTTCCATAAATCAATACACATATAAAGAGATACCTTAGCTAAATTCAAGCATTTATTCAGCATTCATCTCCTGCAGCTTCGGCGCCTCTTTACTGCAGTTCTCAGTTTGTGCCACAGCATGTGGCCATGCGCCTGCATCACATGCTGATGCCATTTCATCTCCAGGATAAATGCCATGCCAGCTAGGACGAGACCCATGCACCAGGTGCGCATCATGCTGGACAAGAAGGCCATGCTCAGTGGCTGTGGCTGCTCATGCAGAATGATAAAGTGAATGACGCGCATGTACAGTGCCTCCCAGAAGGACTCCACCTTCCAGTGATGCCTGAGGCCCGATTCCTGGGAAATCAGTATAAAGTTCTGCAGCGGCGACTGCAGATGCGAGTCCATGTGCATGGGGAAAACGTGGTAAAACGGACCCGAGCAGATCTGCGTTAGCCTGAAGACCGGCACCCGGAGATGCTTCTGCAGCATCATGATCAGATCCCAGCGATCGCTGGACACAAAGTAGCCGTAGCTCGCGTTCAGCAGATCGCGATGCCGCTGAATAAACATCGCATCCGCAACAACGAGTTGTTGAAGAAAGCGCTCCGAGTACTGATCCCTCTTACGGTCCAGAAACTTGTACTCAAAGTCCTGCACGTAGATGATCAGATTGGCGTCGATAACGTCCTGCAGGGTATTCAGCTGGCGCACGGGCGGCGGCGAGGTAAAGTAGCTGGCCATCTTGCTGATGTACATGTTCGAGGCGACGATGCCCATGATGCTGAGCACCAGATAGAGATAGCGCATGCGCCTGTCCCTTGTCCGCACTATCGATGTGGGCGGACTGTTGATCAGACTGAGAATGCATTGCAGCAGAATGGCACTGAGATCCCTCGGCCGTTGGGGCGAGCAGAGCCAAAGGCCAAAGCCCACATAGAGAATCGTCAGGAATAGCAGCAGCCAGACGTTCTCCTGCAGAGCCTCGCGTACATACAGCTCCTGCACCGAATCGTTGCGGTAGGGCACCATCAGGCACCAGTCGTTGATGCCAATCGGATAGCTGAAGCTGACCGAGTAATTCCCGAGCAGGTCGGTGTAGGTGTGTATCAGCGTCTCATAGACGCCCTGGCCGACGAGCTCCAGGAGATACGGCAGATTGAAGTTAGTTATGGTTAGGTTAGCGGAGGTGTCATGCATCGTGGCATTCACAAAGTCGAGGAATCCCAGAAACAGCTTGCCACTGGTGCCGTAGACCGTCCTCTGGTCCGCTCCCTTGAACACGCGAGGCATATCATAGAACACCGGCGTATTCACCACATATCCCATCATATTATGGCTGAGTTTCTGAAAGAAGTCTCGAGCCATCCAGTGCTCGGTTCTATTCACAAAGTGTTGCGTGGGATACGGATTCAGCTGATAGACGTTGTCGTTGATGGTCAGCAGCAGCGTGTTGGTGAACTGTTTGGTCCAGCTCCAGCGGAGAACGTCCTGGAATATTTGCGAGAATTGGGTAAAGGTCTCAAAGCTCTCATGATAGTTCGCACTGCTCAGATATGGAAACAGAATGAAGATCGTCTTCAGCCATCGTATGCCCTTGAGGGTCTCCGAGGCGACCTCCATGATGGGATCGCTGTGATGTGTGGTGAAGACCATCACCAGAGATGGCGTGCTTATCAGGCTCTTTATCGTGGTGTTCGTGTTGATCGAGCTGCGGTTGTTTCGCACGATGATGCGCGGCACGAGGGGAAACTGCTTCCAGAACTTCTTGAAGAATTCGCTGCCGGCCGGACTATTCAAATTCAGCTTCTCCGATATGTAGAAGAGGAGGTTGTGAAAGTGATAGACACTGTCGATGCGTGTGACCACATCGATGACGAAATCATTGTTGATGCTCTGCATATGCCTCGCAATGGTCGCATTCCCAGCCGTCTGGGGCGTTGGCGTAGCCACCTGAGCGGGTCGGGCTGGTCCCAATATGAGCTGAGCTGCCAGCTTGTTCATTTCTATGGAACGATTGTCGAAACGCAACTGATTCGCTATCCCCGGCCTGTCTTCCTGCCGGTCTGTCTGTCTCTCCGTCTCGCGTGTGGTCCACTCCGTGTGGGTTAGGTCAGAGCTGGCTTTGACTGCATTCAAACACCAAGTTTGACATATTGGACATACCGAGCGTTTTATTGGCTGGCAATCAAAATTGTTTACACTGGATGACAGCTGAGCTACCAGGAGCGTTTCAGTTAGCGAGAGGGTTTCATTTACAGTTGACTAAATTTTGAAAGATTTTATTAAGGGGTTGGACAAGTTCTGTAAAAAATAATAATAACATACTTAAATATATTTTATTTATTATTTTCTTTCTTTTACATATATAAAATGATATATTTACAATAATTAGATTATACAACAAATTCATAAATATTACATGTATTTATGTTCTACATGAATAGAATTTAAAACAATTTCTAAATAGAAAACTTATGCAACAATAATATAAAATTTATTTTAATATTTTTTCAAATAAAATGTGAAATAAAATAAATGAATTATTATTTTTTGAATGATTTATTAAATTTGTGAAATCATAAATAACAAAAAATATTATATTTTTTAGTACTTCTTATGACTATTATTGTATTATTATATTATTATATAAAATAAAGTTCCATATCAATATTATTTTGTATTAATAATATCATTTTAAGTTGATTTATTTATTGTAAATCATTAATTTTTTAACTATTTATTATTATTATTTAGTTACCCAATTAAATTATTTTAAGTATATCAAATTTATTGCTTGAGCCATTATTAATTATTATTTTTATAGTATATTATTTCACACATTACTCAAACATTTTTATTATATTATTTATGGTATTCTTATTATGAGCCCCACCACGTTCAGTTACATTCGTAGCGCTCCTGCTTTAAATGCTGTGTGGCCGTAGTTGTTTATTGAGTCATAAAAAGCGAAAACCCCTTTTGGCGTTTATCTCAAGTGCAAATCGCTCATATGCGCTATTTAGCCGTATTTATGCGGAACGGTTCATATAATTGGACAAATCGTTGCAGGACATGCGAGGGCCTTAAAGCGTGCGCACTTTAACTATCTGGCATTGAAGCCGATTTGTGGCTCACGCGGCGAACGCAATTAAAAATCACGCATACGCAGCGTGCAACGCGCACGCACCAAAAACCCGTTGGCTGCCTACTTTGCCGGCTGCTGGCAGCTATGAGCTGGCAGCCTTAGCAGCGTTTTAGGTGTTCGAAATGCGCTTTGCATGACTTTGACAACAAAATCCGATGCAGGCTACATGACGCTGTGTAATTGCTGTGAAATTTCATAAATGTGCACAAATGCCAACAGACAAGGCCATAAGCCGGGCATGGCTTATCGGGTTACGTCTTGGCTTTTATGGCCAGCAAAATGCAATTAGCCAGACACACACACACACACACACACACACACAGACACATGCACAAAGTGGGGGAGTCATTCATATTGTTAGCTTGACTTGGAGCTTAAAATATTTATGATTGATGCTGGCTTAGTCCAGGTTTTTGGCTTGCTATAGTCGCCCTCTAATGCCACATTGACAGCGCGCATGCCTTTGTTTGCTCGATGATTTTACAAATTTCTGCGAATTGCTGCTTACGTAATTGTAATGTGCAGTAATGCGCTTTGCTCTAAGTCAAAGTTGTTCACACATTCACACACACACACACACACCCACGTTTACCCCCTCCCAGTGGAACTGAAGTATCGTGCGAACTATGGCAGCTGGCCAGCACCTGAAGCTACACTTCACTTAAAACACAGAGGCGTGGCAGTAGACGTAAGGCTGTGGGCGTTGGGCGTGTCAACATGTGTTTCGGGAAGCATCATATGACAACATTTTAGCATTTTATTATATTATTTTTCTTTTCTTTTCAAGATTTTCTCTTCCTTGAGTGTGTGTGTGTGTGTGTGGTTTTTAATGCTTGCGCCGCTAGCGCTAAAATACATTAAGCCAGCTTGTTGAGCCGCATTCAGTTTTTATTTATTCTTGTATGCCTTTCAACTGCTGCT